CTCCCGTGCATGCACGTGCTGTTTTTTTCTTTTTTTAAATAAAAAGGTCTCGAATCTCTTGATGGACCACGGATCGGATATGAAACTGAACAGAGCACGTACTACGCTTGATCGTGTGGTGGGGAGGATCGGATATGAAACTGATCGAAGCAGATACTACACATGATCGTGGGGGGGGGAGGGGGAGGTGGAGGGGGAGGGAGACACGCTGTCTCTCTCTCTCTCTCTCTCTCTCTCTCTCTCTCTCTCTCTCTCTCTCTCTCTCCCCCCCTTTAACTTGCTCACGCGCGCGCCGCATAGGTGCTTTTTTTTCGTTTCTAACATAAAGAGGTATCAATGGACTTCGGATCAGATACTATGGTTGATCGTGTGGGGGGGAGGATCGGATATGAAACTGATCGAAGCATATACTACACTTAATGGTTGGGGGGAGGAGGGTGGAGGCGCATGGTTAATAGTTAGGTTGGGTTCTCTCTCTCTCTCTCTCTTAGTTAGGTTGGGTTCTCTCTCTCTCTCTCTCTCTCTCTCTCTCTCTCTCTCTCTCTCTCTCCCGCGCGCGCGCACGCGCACGTGCATGCTTTTTTTTTCTTTTATGAAACCTCACAAGAGCTATGGAGGCCTTTCAGTTGGCATCGGAAATGAAGATCAATTGCCCTAAAACAGTAGGCTGGTGGCTCTCACATCATGATCAACAGAGTCAATCCCAGCCTCACAATTATGGAGGCATGTCTTGGCTACCGTCGGATCAGCCGCTGAGATATTTGGGGATTAGGCTAGATGACACGGGTCCCCATCACTCCATGGCCCCAGAACAAATGGCGAAAATGTTAGCTAAAATGTCAGCCTGGTCGGACATTTACACATCGCTGTTTGGGAGGGCATTAGTGTTAAGCGCTTCTATTTTCTCAATGTTATGGTATGTGGGAACGATATGGACTCCACCATTACAGTCGCTTCACAAGCTTACGAGGATGGAAGCTGCGTACTTGTGGACGGCGAATCCGGACAAGACCAATTTTATATCAAAGGTGGTCTGGAGGCAAGTAATTCAATCAAAGGATCAAGGGGGGCTGGGTATTTTGGATCCCACCCAACAGATCAGAGCACTTCAAACTAAATGGGTCATCAAATTATTTACGCAACCCCATCTACGCTGGGTCCCCCTAGCATTGGAACACATATGGGGGATGACGAGATACACAACTCCACCAAATATGGAGGGCACATTCTGGTTATTCTGCAAAGGTTGGGCCATTAAGGGAATAACCAGAGCGCAGGGGGGTGGGGAAAACGACGCCAGGTCTTCGTACTGGGCCCACATCCTTAAGATATGGGCCGAAGTCTTCCCGGAAAGAGTAAGATATCCAAGAACGAGAGAGGAGGTTCTCAAGCAGCCTTTGTTTTGCAACCCGTGGTTGAAGGACTCTCAAGGAAAACCCAGAACACTTACAGCAAAGGTCGCCAAGTGGGGAAATTGGTTGGAGCATGGGGTATGGCAAGTAAAGCATCTATGGTCACCAACTCACAATAGGTGGAAAACGGGGAGGGCAATGAGAGAGGAAATGAAAGGTTGTCACAGGCTTACCGAGAATTTGAATGAAGTGCTTAGCTCCATACCCCAAGCATGGACGCGAATATTGCGGGGCTCGTTCAAATGGGGCTGGGGTGACCTGGCAACTTGGACCTCAAGCTCGGAACCAGACCAAGCGTTCCGCATTCACCAGGAGGTAGGCCCAGCCAATCAGTGGCTGGAGGCAGACATGTATCCAATCCTGAACCCAGGCTTTACGGTTAGTCTATTGGACAAAGAAACCGGGGTTCCAATAACCATCAACAAAAGTCTCCTCACGAAAGTCAGGGTGATTGAGACAGACGATTTCACAATTTTTGCTCCTACAACACCTATCCAAGATCTGGAAATTGATCTAGCACACTGGGCATGGAACATCAAAGGGAATGGGTCAAGAACAGTTAACAGAGTTAACGTACTCCACTACACTACTAAATGGGGGTATCGATTAAGAAAGAGATCAACCCAGATGGATCGACCCCTGGCGGTGAGGTGGGAAAAGAGGGTGGGAATACCAAGACAGCAAATAGGAAAATTGTCGTGGTCGATTTTGCACAGCATCAGGCTGAATAAAGTCCGAAGTATGTAGTGGCTCATTTTTCATGTCGCACTCCCAGTCAACGCCTGGTTGTACGAAAAACGAAGCAGGAACAACAGAGATGTGAGAGAGCAAAACTGCGCCATGTGCACGGAAGGAGTACCTGAAACACTGGTTCACTGCCTACTGCACTGCCCGGAAGCGGAGTATGTTTGGTCCATAGCTCGAACCCTGTGGGATCGCATCACGGACTTCTCATTCCCAAGCGGCAAAAGAGTCCATCTCACAGGAACTGAAGTCCCGAGAGGATGGTACTCAAGCCATAAGTGCATTTACCAGTTGCTGAGACAATACACATTATGGACAGTATGGAAAAGAAGATGTCAACAAGTGATAGGTAAAAGGCCATCAACCAGAACGGAAGCCAGAGCAACACTACATAATCTGCTACAGACGGACATTACAGCTCAATGGCAGCGAGCCAAGAAGCAGGCAGCGGCTACCCTGAAAAGGCCAAGGACATTCTCACGAAATTCCATAACAGAGTATTGGCCAAAGGTAAAGTAGCCACAATAGAGGGGCACAGGCTGATCTTCCATTGGTTCAGAGAAGACCAGCAAGACATGGCAAACGGACACCAGGGGCAAACACAGCAACTGGCTTCACTATGAACAAGGCAAGTCAAAGCTCGGAAAGGGGTAGGAAATGGGTTAAGTGCAAGCAATGGATCACAGGTTAAGACAGAGTCGCAAACGGGAGACCATAGGAAGAAGCAAAGGAACATTGGAGACTAATGGCATTGAGAAGAAAGGGAAGGGTTTACAGCAAAGGAACTTTGGAGGCTATTGGCATTGAGAAGAAAGGGAAGGTTTAAGGTTTAGGGGGTAGGGTTTAGGGTTCAAAGAGGTATCCGTCTGCAATGATCTGTGGGAAGAGAGACTCAAGTAGGATCCGCCTCAGATAATGATACTACAAATTAATGAGACTGCAAAGTATGCTGACCTGTAGAGAAGTTTTAAGGGTTTAAGGAGGTAGGGTTTAGGGCTTACGGAAGTAACCTTCGGAAAACATTGCTGGAAAGAGAGATTCAAGCTACGTCTGGTACAAGTCAAGGGAATACAAATGTAGTTATGGCATAGGTAAACAATAGGGACCACATTGCAATACGGGGAGGGTACTAAGGTCGTTTCTTGATATCCATGAGTTATATGACAGGTTACTATGGGTAACCTGAGAGGAAAGGACCTAGTAAACAACGGAGACAGTACCGGTCTTTCTTGAAATTCATGTGCGATAAGGCAGGCTCTTAAGGAAAGGTCTGACAAGAAAGAATATACCGGGCTTACGAGTTAAACTGCTGGTTGACGTAGAATAGGCTAACTTAGGCAGGGGGGAGGGGTGGTATATCCTTCCTCAGGGAAGTAATCAATGCCGCCCACTCGGACCTTCCACCCATCATGGGGAGGAGCGTGCGTAA